TATCCTAGTAATGCCATCTGGAGGCTGAAATTTTACCACACAGACACATAGAAAAACTACCACATGCTTTGAACTACTAATCTGTGCAGAGAAAATGCTTGGAGTATATGCCTGGCCCGCACATTCCCTTGCACAGCCCCTCCATGCCTGGGCGGAAGCAGCCTTTGAGCAGGGTGAGGGCTGAGTGCTGGCCTGCAGTGCCCTTCCGCGGCAGGTGCCTTGAGTGCCGAGATAATGGCTTGTTAGCTACAGGCCAGCTATATACTATCTAGCAGTCTGGCCTTTGTTTAACTTCCTTGGGACTTTTATGACCTTTTTATAACGTTTAAAGATACCAGACTTTAACCTAGATTTCTAAGGAGATTGGAACCCTTCTTCACTTAAACCAGCACCAGTTCTGGGTCCTTCCTTTAGGAGGCAGCTGTTATCAATCTCCAGTGGGGAGAATACCTTTATTATGCTAATAACTCAAGTGTCCTTCTCTGTCTGAGGAATTAACCCCTCTGTAAACCTTTAATCCTGTTCTTAATAAAGCCGCTTGGTGAGAAAAAAATGCTCAGACTGAGAGTGAGTCCTTAAAAGACTAAAACTTCCACAGAGGTGCTGGCAGGAGTGACTGAGAGATGTTATTAACTCCTGGTATGCCTGATGGGAATATTTAGGGCCAGGATCATATGCTGGGAGTGGAAAAATGGGTGGCTGGCCCCACCTGTCTTGACCTTCACCTAGAAGCTTTCCTTAGGGCCCTTACCTGCTTCATACCAGAGAGTCCTGTGCCAATGGAGACTGAGGAGGTAAGCTTACTTGGATCTGGACCGAGGAGACAGCGGTACTACTGGCTGGATGCTATTTGGCCTAAGATTACTGAGGTAGAGAGCAGAAGAAAAGGCATACGACTCTCCGATTAAACCTGCTTGGGATCTGGCCCAGTGAGTGGACTTGTGTAGTGGGTCAGAAAGTGTACTGCTTATAGAGAACACTCCCAAGGGAAGTGACACCTCTGATGGTCTCTATCTTTTTTTGTGCCTCAATTTCTCTCCCCGACTGTAACAACCATGAGTACCCGGAATTCTGGGTGACCAACCCTTATTTGCATCCCCTGGATGGGTCAGAGTTTAATTACATTTGTTGTTAGAGCCCTTCGAAGTGACCTTCACACCCTGGGGACCTGCTCCCCAGACACCATTCACTCAGGCCCCCACTCAGGTAGGGGCATCCCAGAGTCTCAGAATGGAGGGAGGAGTTGGCTCTTTGATCTTCAGAACTGGGCAAGGACCCAAGCACTCATTTAGTCAATGGCCTGGCTTCGTATTGCAACTGGTAGGAGCCTAATGCTCTAACCCGACCTGGCATCAGTTTATCCTCACATGGGAGACTATATCCTGCAGTTGCACTAGTGGCTCTTATTTGACTGACCTATGCTCACTTTAGTTTGGCCCTGGTGGTGGAGAGTACATCTGGAAAGGAGCAGTGAAGGAGAGAAGAGAAATGCCCACATAAGACGGAAGCCAGGTTTAAGTGCCTGGGAAGGGGGCGGTCCATTAATGCCTCCAAAATCATACAGGGGACAGGACAGGGACAGAATTCATGGTTGCACTTATCATTCAACTTGAAGAGGTTGACTTATGAATTTCCTGGCCATTGCACCAAATATGAAACATGAAAATTGAACTGGAACACTTGGTGTTCCCCTGGGCAGGATGCTTCCTGAGTTCTTGTCCAGGTGGGTTCAAAGAATGAAACCACAGACAAAAGGTGGTATAGGAAAAGACATAAATTTATTGAGAAACAAGCACAGACTCCCACATGGAAAGGGGGAGAGAATATCACTAAGTCCCTTTTTTCTAAGGTTTATAAAGGCTGCAGTTCTTTGTGTCTTTTTTTCCCCATCCAATAGAATTTT